GAGAGATGAAGGACGGGGCTCCCCCGCCGCAGGTCCATCCCTGTCTCAGCCAGGGCTCTTCCGGATGATGGCTTTTGGGTTAAATGAGCCTCCAAAGCCAGAACTTAGTGGTTACAAAGTGATTTTAAAAGTATTTCCTTATTTCATCACCCAAATGGCTCCAAGAAGGAGACAGGGTAGGGTTTATTATCCCCATTTTACAGAACAGGAGACTCAGGCCTCGAGGGGGTCACAGACAGTCACTGTCAGGTTTTCCAATTCGATTCAATCCCCTAACCATTTATCAAATGCTGCCTCATCGGAAGATTCGGCAGGCAGATTTTCTGTTTCGATCCCAGGATTTCTGAGTCAGACAAAAGCGATTTCAGAAGGGAGCAGAGGCCCAGGAGGGGAAGGGGCTTAGCCAATGTCCCGGTGTGTGACAGGCATGGCGGGCCTGGCTGTTCCAATCAGGTGGCGAAATTTCTGGAGGAGGGAATCTGTTCATCTGTAGAATGTAAACCCCTCGAGGACAGGGCCTGTCTCACTTTGGCTTTTGCATCTCCCATGCCTAGCTTGATTCTTGCAACCTAGCAGGCCTCAGCCAACGCATGCCGACTGATTGAGCTGTAAAATGAGCTTAACGATGTTTCACTAGCTACCCTTCAAGGCGGAAGGGCCACATCCTCGGCAAGCATGGCCCATATGCAGCAGACCCAGTGAGGAGAGGGCCCTCTCTCCTCCCTCCTTCGCGTCTTCCTGCATTCACTCAACAAACACTGACTGAGCGCTGGCCATCGGCTTCCAGGTTTCAATCTTGATCCTGGCACTCGAGAAGCCAGCCCCCAAGCCCAGCTCTTGGGGGCCAGAGAAGGCCTGGGGATTTCAGTCAGTTTGAAGGGTGGGACATTTCCTCCCTAATTTAATTACCCTGCAGTGGCCAGCCCCCCTCCCAGTGTGAGCATCCGCTTAAAGCTGGTTTTGTCCCCCTGAATCGGCAATCAGACAGACCTCTCCAGATTCATTTATCTCAGCCCAGCAATCAATAGGATTGTGGAAAACAGACAATTTGCAAGAGATTTAATTACACCATTGTGGAAGCAGGGAAGAAAGTGAGAAGGGCTTAGAGCCTGAAGGGGCTGAAGGGGCTGAAGAGTCCAACCCTCTCATTTTGCAGCTAAGGAAACTGAGGCAGGCGGGTCTGTCCTTCTCTCAAGAGCCAGGCTCCAGCTAAGTCACCATCTGGGAAGATGACATGGCGCAGCACCAGGAAAGACAGCCAGAGGGCCCTCCGAAGACCCGGCTGCCACTCTTTCCTCTGACGGTCTACCAGCATGGCCTGGCCCATAGGATGCCAAAGGCCCGTCCAGCTCCAAGCCTCTCGATGGCTCCTTTCCTTTGTCTCCTTGGTTGGTCACTCAAAGCCTTCACCATCTAGCTCTGGCACGTGTGTGCGTGCGTCTCCCCCTTAGACTGTAAGCTCCTTGAGGCCAAGGACTTGTATATCCAGTGCTTAGCACGGTGCCCGGCACACAACAGGTGATTAATAATGTTGGTTGATTGATCTTTCCTGGTTTGTTACAACTATTCTGCCCTGTTTTCATTTCCCACCTCCATGCCTTTGCAGGGGCCGGTCTCCAGCCGTGGAACGCTTTTTTCTTCTCATCGCCACTGCTTGAGCTCTTGCTTCCTTCAAGACTCAGCTCCGGGGCCCCTCCTTGAAGAGGCCTTTCTGAATACCCGCTGTGGTTGATATCCGCTCCAAAATGACTTTGGAGTTGGTTTGTACACATCTTTTATTTACTTATTTACTTATTTAGCCTGCGCTTCCTCCCGGGTGGAATCTAATTTTCTAGAAGAGGGGGGAAAGGAAGAAGCATTTATTTATTTATTTATTTGTTTGTTTGTTTATTTGGTGAAGCAATCAAGGTTAAGTGACTTGCCCAGGGTCACACAGCTAGTATGTGTCAAGTGTTTGGTCTGAGGCCGGATTTGAACTCACGTCCTCCTGACTTCAGGGCGGGTTCTATCCACTGCACCACCCAGCTGCCCCAGGAAGAAGCATTTATTAAGCACCTACTGCGTGCCAGGCGCTTTACAAGTATTAGTGCATTTGAAGGTAGACGATGCTTTGGGTTTGGCCCTAAGGTCTCCGTCTGGTCTCTGGCACTAGGTCAAACACACGACAAAAGTCTGTTGACTGACTGCTGTCCAGCGTGATTCAGGGTTTGCAAAGCGCCTTCCCCACGGCACCTTTGACGGGGTAGCCCCTTCCTCATTTGGGAGGAAACAGCCCAAGCCACCAAGTGATTGGCCGCGTCCCACAGCTTCAGCAGGTGAGAGCCAGACGACGACTCCCAGTTGAAAGCCGCCGGTGCCTCCTCTCAGGGGTGGATCCGGGTTCTGGCTGCCCCGTGCAGAGGCAGGGTTGTCAGCGGCCTGGAGCTGGGAGGTCCCCCGAGGGAGCAGCCCCGGCCAGGTCAGGCCACGGTGCTCAGCAGAGGCCCAGAGGGAGCTGCTGGGGGAACCTGGGGAGGGACCTCCGCTGGGGGAAATATCAGCATTTTCCCAGCACGCTAACGGAAGTTTCTGTAAACATTTCTTTCGTCCTCATCTCTCGTCTAGTTCCGACTCCTCTCAGGTCCTGTTATGTAACCCTTCCCTCGCCTCTCTGCTGTCAGCTAACGTCCTTTCCGCTTGCCCTACCTTTCCTCCGTGATGCTCAGTGCTTCCCTTGACCTCTCCTCGCTGTATCTGGAGGTCCCAGCCCCGCCCGAGGATGGCTCTTCAGAGGGACCCAACAAGACAACAAGATCTGAATGGGCCGGTTGGGAGGCCGACAGGAGGGAGCGAACGGCCAGCCAGTCTGGATACCCTCTCCTGCTGGCTTCCTTTGCCGTGAAGGCAGTCCCTCCCACATGGCTTGGATCTCTACGGTAGAGACAAAGTAGAACTCAGGAGAGGGGGGCTGCCCTGGAAAGAGATGGAGCAGGGAGGCAGCTGCCTCTGACACTTACGGGCCAGGGGCACCGGGGGAGAGGGGCGGCTTCTCCCAGATAGAGCGTTGCCCCAGCAGCCTGACCATCACCCACAGAGCTCTGCCCGCCTCCTCGGTAGCAGGATCTCAGTGATTTTCGGCTGACAGAAGCAGACCCAAAGCGTGTCCCTGCTGACTGGGGATGGGCACTAGGAGCTCACCTAAGACCCCCTCTCTGCTGGTGGGTTCAAACCAGTTGTCACTTTCACCTACCCTCCAGCCATGGAGGCCAAGCCTGATGGGTGGAGGGGGGCTGTCTGGGCCACAAGAAAGCCTGACCTTCCATCCGAAGACTTTCTGAAGGCTCTGTCCTCAGCTGTGAGGTCATTTTCTGGACTTGACTCCCCATTCCTCTTCCTGTGCAGTACTCGCTCCTCTGACGACCCCCCCCACCCCCCCAGGCAGGGGGCGTCTGATCCGTCCACACAAACATTCAGAGAAGTCGTGCCACATTTCAGAACAGGTTCATCCACCTTCCTTTCCTTCGATGCAATGGCAGAAACTTATTTGGATGAGAGAAAGGACGAGCTGTAGGGAACCTCAGACGCCTTTGAATCTAACCCACTCATTTTATAGAAGAGGAAACTGAGGCACATGAAGGGAGGACAATGTCCGAGGCCACAGAGGGAGTCAGCGGCTGAGCGAGGTCCAGGGCTCTCGAGCTCTGGGTCAGTCTGTGATTGTCTCAGAAGAGGGAGCTCAGAACTGAGGTCCTGGCTCAGCCACTGACCAGGTCTGTGACTTCACCTCTCTGAGAGAGGCACTGGGGAGCCAAAGATGAATTAATCACACGGTCTGAGAGCAGCCAGCCCATATACAAATGGAATCCCCACAAAGACTCCCGAGGATCACCAAGGAGGGGGAACCCACCAGCTCCCCAGGCTGTTAGGAAGCTTTCCCTAGATCAGGCTCTTTGAAACCCCCCTCCCACTGCTCCTGAGAAGCAATGTGGTCTTTGCCTTCAAATACCTTCCCAACTGCTAAGGGGGACCGTGAGATTAGGCTATGTGTGATGGGCAGTGTGAGGTAGCTGGAGACCCAAGGATGGATCCTAGAGCCAAGTGTGAGGAGGGAGAGAGATCTTTTTCAGCTGGGGAAACCAGGGAGGACTTCATGGGGGAGGAGGCAGCATCCGAGCAGAGCTTGGAAGGCAAAGATCCTAGGCATGGGGTAGGTGATCTAGACCTGGGAGCAGCACTTGGTGAAGTGTGAAGGGGGCAGAGGCAATCTGGAAAGCCCTGACGCCCCCTGAAAGGAGAAGGAAGCCAACACCACAATCATGCCCCAGAAGAGAATGAGAAAGAAGGGAATTCTGGGGGTGGGGGGTGGGGGAGGGGAAAGAGGGAGCCCAAAAGGTATGCTCTGAAACAGACACGCGGGTACTTTGTACTGAGCCTAATGGCTACGGGTCCAAGCGGTTTTTTCACGGACAGCTTGTGGCAGGCAGTAAAGGGAGGGCGGCATGGTGCAGTGGAGGGTGCTGGGTTTGAATCCTGCCTTACACTGACTATCTGGCCGAGTCGCTTCAACTTGGCCTCAGTTTCCTCTGCTGAAAATGAGGGGTTTAGTCTTGAAGATGTAGGCCAGCTCAAACTAGGATCCTGTGACTTACACCGACCAATTTGTGTTGTACGCCCCGCCCCAGAAGGTAAGCTCCTTGAGGGCAGGAACTTCTTTTTGAGCTTACATGCTGAGTACCCAGCCTAGGGCCTTGCCCCGAGGGGCCCCTTAAAAATGCTTGTTGAATGGTTCAAAGCTTCTTACCGACCCTAGGGAGTCACGGGGAGTCTGGGAGCAGGGGAGTGCCTGAGCCCTCTGCCTCTGGGAGATCGTTTGACCACCTGTGCGGGGCCACGTTTCCGTCTAGAGTGAATCAGCGTCGGTGCGGTCCTCCCCGCAGATGGCACCCTGTCCCTCCCCACCCGGCAGACGCTCCCCCCCCGCCCCCCGCCCCACCCCCTCCCCCCATCCCGGGGCACCGCACCTTCACATAGAGCTGCTGGAACTCCTCGAGGTTGAGGCGCCCGCTGGGACAGTCCTTGAGGAAGCCCTTGTACCACTGCTTGAGCTCGTGCTCGTTGAACTCCGTGCTCTTGACCAGGTCCTCCATCACCTCCGGGGCCAGCTTGCTGTTCTGCTTCCCCATGGTGCCTGAGGAGAAGAAGGGGAGCGGTGAGCGGCGGGGCGTCCTGCACTCGGGGGGAGGGGGGGAGGGGCCCTGGAGACCGCTGGGCCACCGCTTCCACTGTAAGGAAGGCAAACTAAGCCCCAGCGGCTCACTGGTAATAAAGGACAGAGCCGGGATTCGAACCCAGGGCCTGAAAGGCCAAACCTGGCATTCTCTCCATTACAGAACACCGTTCTCAGTGGTTACCCGAACTGTGGGTAACAAATAGCCAATAAGTGATGAAACGCCCTTCCCTCCTCTGGGTGGTGAGGCAGGGAGTCAGGGGTCCTGAACGACGCACGCCCTCTGCCTTCCCCCAGACATAGCCTCCACCCTCGGCCCCCAACGGCATCTGACCTTGCTCCTGGGGGGCTCGGTGGGTCAGACCCCCAAACGACTGACCCAGAGGCACGTTTTAAAAACGAGGGGATCTCTCAGGGCCCTTTCAGCGTATGAGGGTCCTGGGTGTCCTCCCTTCAGTCGAGGAGCCCAGGTACGCACACGTACACCTAGGCGGCGTCGGCCTCCTCATCTCAGATGGGAGGACAGCTTAGCTTTGCCCTGCCTCTAGCCCAGGGATTCGTCAGTGAAGGCGGGCCTATCAAAAAGGATGCTATCAGACCCAGAGAAGGGTCACACGTGAAGGGGTCTGAACGACGGAGCAGCAAGTCTGGCCTTACCGCCCAGATGAAGCAGCAAGTGGAGACCTCCAGGTTACAAGGGATGGTGACGCAAGGGACGTTTCTCCGGCATGTTAAGATTCACAAAGCACTTTACAAATATTAATTAATCTTCACAAAGCCCTCAGAGGTAGGTTCTATCATTATTCCCATTTTACCAGAGGAGCAAACTGAGGTGGATGAAGGTTAAATGGCCTGACCAGGGTCACACAGCTAGGAAGCTGCTGAGGCTGGATTTGAATTCACGTCTTCCAGATTCCAGACCCACGGCTCCTTGGTCCACCTCCCACTCTTCCAACTACATTCATTCTTCCCAAGAAGGCCAGCTTCTCGTCAGCCTTGAGCCGCCAGGGACCTCGGAGGCCACTGGTCCAACCCATTCCCAAGCCTGACTCCCCGGTATGACATTCCTGACAAGACGCCGTGCAGCCTCAGAGTTGGGTCTCCAACCAACCCGCTGAATGGTCTACTGAGCCAGAACGCTCTGCCTTTTGCTGCTGGTTCTACCTCTGGGACCAAGCAGAACAAAGCTAATCCCCCTTCCATATGATGGCCCTCAATACTGGAAGACACCTGCCATGGCCCCAAGGTCCTCTCCAGGCTGCAGCCTCAGAGCTTCCCGTCCATCCGTCCATCTGTCTTTCTGTCCTTTTCTTCCTTCCCCTCTCAGCAAAGGCCTCTTTACAGAACCCACTGATTGACCAAAACCAGGTGGTCCCCCGATTCTTCACGCTGCTTTAAGCCCAGCCTGTAGTCTAACGTGACTTCTCAGACTGGGTGCTGACAATTCACTCAGTCCTAAGCACCGTCCTTCTCCGACGGGGCAGCCGGTATTCTGCTCGGTTTTTCTAAACGGACAAAGAAGTCTCCACTAGCCCCAATGGCCCGTCAGTGGCAGCTGTGATTAAGTTTTCTCCGTCCATTCTCTCCCAACACCCTTGAGCTCGTCCCCGTCCCCCACCTTGGCTTCTGGCTGCCAGGCCGTATTCACCAAGTCACTGCAGGGGGCCCCAATGCCTACGGTGGAGGCCAGGTGGCCACCCAGGGGTCTGGCTGCCACAGAGCTAATTAATTAGGGGAAGGAAACGATAATTCAGAGATGAAATTGTTTGGAGAATCAGACTGGCTTGTGAGACGGGGCTGGCTGGGCCCGATCCCATTACATTGTTAAAAATCAGCTAGATTTCAAGGTAAACTTCGCGAGCTATTACTCATTATTATCACCGTCATCTTTTTCTGTTTTCCAAATCAAAATACGGCACTCAAAAATCTGCTCATGTCTTGGCCCCGAGACTAGAGAAAGCTTCCCCAAACGCAGGCCGCGAGGCGACAGGACGTGATTTCCCTTCACGCGGGCTTTCCCTTTGCAGAGACTGTAGTTGATTGGAGTAAGCAGTGGCCACCTCCTCATTGGGGCCTTTCTCACCCCCCACACGTATACATGCAGGCATGCATACACACATGTGTGCACCTATGTACACGCGTGTACACAGAAACAGCTTGGAGTCATAGCACGAGTCCCTCTAATTTCGAGCCCTCAGGCGCGCACACAGACAGGGTCCAGACCCTGACGGATGATGTGATGAAGTCAGCTCTTGGTATATAAAGAATGGACCTGCTGAGGCTTTTGATGTCAAGCCTGGGGGCAGGGGGAAGAACACGGGTCTGGGTCAGATCCTTGGCTCTGGCACGGACAGCTCGGATGAGCCCCCTCGTCGGGGCTCAGTTTCCTCATCTGTAAAATGAGAGGGCTTGACCCGGCCAGCCTCAGAGCTGGGATGAGGATCCCGAGTCCCTCTCAGAGGCCATTCATTGAGACACCAATCTGTCGATGGTTCCCTGGTCAGAAATTAAAGTGGGATGGAGGGTCAGAAGGAGGTGGGCACTGCATTGGCATAGACACCGTAAGGGAGAGCACAAGAGGGATGTCAGAACACAGAGCAGAGAGTGCCAGGGGAGGGGGCAGGGAACAGACATTACCTCGTCTTCTTGTCCAGGTGAGGAAACTGATACCCAGAGGGGGAGGCCCCAGCCAAAGCCCCAGAGTACAAGCTGGCGCCTGAGCCTCTACGCCCACCTCTAAGCCCACGGCTCTGCCCTCTCTTCCTGAGGACTCCTTCCCGAAGGCCACCCACTCTTCGGCAGGGGACCTCCCCCAGGTGCTGCAATCACATCCCACACCTGGTGGGGTGAGTGTGCAGGCCTGGGGTACGAGCCCAGTCTGACAGGAAGCTATGCTAACCATATCTGCCCTTGTGCAAACAGGAGATCCAGGGTGACTGGGGAGGAAGGAGCTTGAAAGTATTTGGAAAAGTCGGCTCTGGTGAAATGGAGCAGGGTTTGGGGCTGCCGTCGGCTGCTCTGAGCTCCTCGGCCTCTTGGACGCCACCCCTCTGGAACCTTCGGGGAGGTCCTCCAATGCCCAGGAAGTATGGGCTACGGAAGCAAGCTGGACTTGGAGATAGGGAGACCCAGGTGCGGATCCTGACTCTGACAACTGATTAGCTGTGTGACCCTGGGCAAATCACCAGAGCTCTCTGAGCCTCGAACAGCCGACTCTCAAGGAATGGAAGTCAGAGAAAATCATAGGAACCAAAACATGCATCAGAATGCTGAATAGTGGACGGAGCCCTGGGTCTGGGGCAAAGGCCCTGGGTTCTAGACTGTTCGAGTACTGCTGCTCTCTGGGCTCCGATGGCCTCAGCAGTGAAATGAGGGGGCTCTGCAGGGCCCAGCATCTCAGCCCACATCCTCCTTGTATTACCTGCCTCACTGGGTGGTTCTGAGGCAATCTCTGAGTAGCCACAGTTATTGTCTTCTCCAGTGGAGCCGTCACCTCCCCAAGGAAGTGTGGATCTGCCCTTGGAACCTCCCCAGACGTGGACGGGCTAGCTTCGTCTGGCCTTATCTCACTCCATCCCCAGTTCAGAGTGAGCCCTCACCCCTCCACTTCTGTCCCAGAGCCCCTTTATGCACTGTCTGCCCCCATTAGAGTGTAAGCTCTCTGAGGGCAGACCCAGTCTAGCAGGTGTGTATTTGTATCTACTGACACAGCATGGTGCTTAATGAAAGCTCAGTCATTCTGGGTCTCTTATCTATCAGTTTGCTCTCGTTTCTATCATCTCTCTCTATCTTTCTGTATGTCCGTCCACTTATCTAAACCTATCTCTATCATTTATCTATCTTTATCCATCTCTCTACCCTCTCTCTAGCTCTGTCTCTCTTCTTGTCCAACCCTCTTGCCTCATAAATGGAGAAACTGAGGTCTAGAGAAAGGAACTGTCTTCCCCAGAGTCACATGGTGAGCCAGTGATAAAACCAGGCTGAGAACCCTAGTCTCCTGCCTCCCGGGGCAGTGGTTTGTTTTTTCCAGTATACTCTTCAGACCTCGGTTTCCCCAAGTAAGGTGAAGTCATTAGACCTGCACTCTGGTGACGCCTATGAACCCCTTCTCAGAATCATGTTCTTAAATGAATAAAAATAAAATACAGAAAATTGCAAAAGAAACAAATTATATTGAAACACAGTTATCAAAATAGTTTTTAAAAAAGGTCACAGACCCCAGGCTTAGAGCCCCTGGCCGACTAGACCTAGTCCGAAGGTCGTGCTGAGCTCTGACACTCTGTGCTCTCACAAGGCACTCCTAGGAGGAAGAAAAAAGCTGCTCATGGCGGCTGGCTTGTCCCAGGACAGTCAGCACAAGTCGATTCTTTATCAAGGGACCGCTGTCAGGACTTGAACCTTATTTCCCAAGAAGGGAGGTACCCGGAATCTGGGCTAAAGCTATGGCCCCGGGCTAAAAGAGAGAAACTAGCCCTGCCCAGGTCTTAAAGATGTGTGTGTGTGTGTGAGAGAGAGAGAGAGAGAGAGAGAGAGAGAGAAAGATCCACCCGCGAGTTCATTCCTCTGCCGCTGGGGCTGTTGACAAGGGGTGACTGGCGACAGACACGAGGAATGACACCCAGACTCCGCCGCCCCCACAAGAGGGCGGTGGGCGAGGGGCGCTCTGGCTACAGAACATTATCTGTACAGTGGGTTGGTTTTGCTGATCTGCTTCTGTGCTTTCTCATTTTCATTCTGTACAAAGGTCAATGGAGGGGAGAGAGAGTTTTGGTAACGAAGGGGCGTAAAAACCAAAGATTTCCATTCAGTTGTCTGGTCTTCAAAGGGATGGGAAGTCCCACCAGCTCTGTTAGGTGTGGACACCTCCCAGGGCTTTCAGGGTGGTCTGTGAAAGGGGAGTTCTGGATCAGCCGAGAAAAACCACAACACCCTGGGACAGAGATCTGAGCTGGGAGGAGCCC